CGATACCTTGACTTCGATACCGGTTCCTGAACCATACTTTTTTCGATACCAATTTTATTAAATCAATTTGAACAAGATTACATTATCTAAAAAAAAAAAAACTTTGGTTTTATTTTTCAGCTTGTTGATGTTTATACAGACACAAAGACTCTCCTGAGCCACTGCACAAAGGAACAAAATGTAACTAACAAAAAATCAGTGCAAAGAGTTTTAATAAAGCTCAAATAGTCTTCAGTTTACACATCTGTTAGCTACTTTTACACTAGTGTGTGTTTGTTTTAAAACGCCTAGCTCAGACAGAATCGTCATTTCTATTAATTTTCCACTGATTTACTGATAAGCATTAGCAGTTTCTAGCGCTGTCTGCCTGTGCTCTCTCTTCCATGATCGCTGCTCTGACTCAGAGGTTATAATATATTTAATTTCATCAACAATACATGGCCAAAACACACAAATACTTTTCAACTAAATTAAAATGTAGTGAGCGTTTAATGAGTGATTGAGTCGTTCATTCAAACGATTCGTTTAAACGGCAGATTCATTAGATGAATATGCATGGGCTAATGAAACTTTGACTCAACCGATTCGTTCAAAACATGCAATGAATCGACTGGTTGCTGTGAGGTGCGCTGTGTTCCGCCTAAAATGTAAGTGACCTAATATTATTGTATTTGCTTATTGAACTGTTTATAGAACTATTAAACAGTCGTAATGGTGAAAACGGTGTGTGATGTTGCCTAACTAACTATTTTAAATATAAAAACTTTCCATTTTTAATTTTTACCTCAGGATGCTGAGTTTCTTAGTGTTGCGTGTGTTTTGATTTCTCCTGGAGAGGCTGTGAGCCTCGCCTCAGCAGCGCAACCTTATACTGTCAATAGATACCCACTATTCGACCACTTACTCTAAATGTAATAAAATCAGAATAATATTGCGTTTTGGTGTTTACATAGTTATTTTTGGTTACTGATGTTGAAACGCAGTGGAAACGCCAGTAAGACGAGGATCGTTTTCATTTTAAAACTAAAACGCACCAGTGTAAATGTAGCCTTATAGTGTAAATGACACATTCACACTAAATCCTCACGTGTGAGCCACATCTCTGAGTGTGACGCGGACCGACTGTGCAGACCTATCGGTGTATTAGGCTATAGTAAGATACCACGAGCAGACTGCTCCGTACGTTTTCGCATTGCTCTCGCGGATGTCAAACACTGATCGATCTGCGCCTCACTGACGTTGATGAGATTAACACCTTCGGTATCGAAATTTGGTACCGAACGACAAGACGTTTTTCGATATTCGATAGTGTCGAGGCAATTCGGTCGGTGCCAAAAAAGTATCGAACTCGATACCCAGCCCTAGATGACGGTCTATCGTGCTTACTGGCTAAAAATGGATGAGAAAGAGTATGTATTAGCAGATCAGAAACCATTTTTGATTGAAAACCACCATTTTGATTCCAAAATAACTTTTTTTTAAATGTCATTTTATTGAATATTTTATTAGTTTGTATTTAATATTTTAATAGTATGTTTTTGTATTTGTTTTTATATATCTCATGTTACTTGTTTATAAAAAACTGTCAACTTTTTTGTTTGCTCACAAACTTAAAGGGGTCATATGATGCTTTTTTTTAAAGATCATTATTTTGTGTATTTGGTGTAACAGAATATGTTGACATGCTTTAATGTTCAAAAAACACATTCTTTTTCAAATACTGTACATTATTGTAAGTTCTCTATGCCCCACCTCTCTCAAACGCTTTGTTTTCTACAAAGTCCCTCCTTCCGACAAGCGCAGTCTGCTCTGATTGGCCAGCTGACCCAGTGCATTGTGATTGGCCGAACACCGCAAGCACGCGTCGGAAATGTAACGCCCCTTACCATAATCGCGAGCTTCATCTTTCAAAATAATGTCAGAGTCGCATGACAGACACAGTGATGAAGCTGGTATGTGTGCAGTACACAAACCACGGTTAAGACGGCTGACTCCACTGTGATCTCTCGCTCTCTCTCGTTCGCTCGCACACACACACGATGCGCAAAACTCCGCATTTGAACAGTCAATAGCAACTAATAACAAAACAGTAGCTGATTCAGAAGCGCCAGATTGCCATAGCAAAGTCAGAATTACCTCCTCTCCTAGGTTCACGAAACGGTCGTCCATAAAATGCATTGCTGCTCTGTTGTAAGTAATCTTAAAGATTCCTAAATGCATCTACTTTCAGAAGGCCAAATAAAGTGCTTTTGCTTTCACCTAGAAACACAGTGTCTCCCTGACATGGCTGCTTCAACACTAACTGCGGTTACTGAAACCACGCCTTCTTTCTTTGAGTGCACATTTGGGCGGCATTACACTAATATTGCCACATAGTGAGGTAGATATGTGGGGGCGTGTTAGAACGAGCCGTTTTAGGAGGGCGTGGCAGAGTCTTAAAGAATACCTCTTTGGTTTTGAGACTTTAGTCTTTGCAACTTCAGGGATCTTATCTATGCACAATCAGATTGTAACACTCCAAAGAGAAAGGAAAACTTGAAATCGAATCATATGACCCCTTTAAAAAATCAAGACATTGCAAAGACATTTTCTGAATTCCCCTTTAAAACGATGCTGCTACCGCCATCAATGTGCTGCTTTTGTAACACATTCTCTGCTTTCAGTAAATTTCAAGACGAATTATTGCTAGATGTCAAATCGCCTGCTGTGAAAAATTATTCCTGTTATGTGTAATTGTTGGTCTGTTGTAGTTGGACTCTTTGCATTACGTGACTTTTTTTTTTCTTCCAGAATCTCATGGAATGAGTTGTATTTAGGACCTTGTCAAGTTAAACAGTTTTTGAATGCGACTATAGGTATCTAAATGTAAATGTGACTCTAAACCAGCCCATTTATACAAATCTTTCTTTATTCAGATAAGCCACTGTCTAGTTAATTTTCCAAGTGTGTAGCTTGGCAAATACTTATTTATTTATATCGTTTCTCCTGTGCACATGGTGACTGGGTTGTGCTAAAATTGCTTTTGTGCCATTGTACCCACTGTGCTTAATTTGAACATTTGTGTTTCTTTTTTTGGGGTGGTCACTTTCTAAAATGACCTGGGCCATTTTGTCTGCGTATGATTTATTTGTTTGTCGTTTTTCTCCATGGGTCATATTACTTCTTTACAGATGCTTTTCTCACTGGTGTGTAATCTGCCCTCAAGGGATGTCTCTGCTGAGGAGTTTTAAAATCTTTTTTTTCTTCCACCAAACTGTGGGGTGATTTGTTCATGCTGAAAGCACAGCTCTACCTGACCATCATTAACTATATGTGTGAAAACACCACGTAAACTAGTGTGAGGAGTCAAGTGACTGGCCAATTAAGTGGAGCTCCTCGAGGCAAAATCAATATTGAGTGATCCAAGTCATTTTGCCCTCCGGGGGAATATGCTATCATATAGGTAATATCCGTCGAGTTTTCTTAGTTGCGCTGTGGATGAATGTACCATTTGCGCTTATCTAGGTAATTTTTGTTCAACTCAATGAGCAACTGATCTGAAGGTTAGTGATTTAGAATTGACAGTCCCTCACCATTACACTGGAGAGTCTACATTGCTCTGAAGTGCTTTCATCCAACTGGCACAAAATCAGTAGGGTATTAAGGCCGATGGCGTTCACTTGCCTCCTGCCATGTACCACACAATGGGGTGAGGATGTAGGGGGGGGGCGAACTGCCAGTGCCACTGCCATATTTCATTGACTGTCACACTTGTGCTGCTTGTGCCTCTGTGACGGCCTTCCCCCAGGCTTTTCCCTGTGTTGGAGATTTACCTACCCACTGCACATGAGCAATTTTTCTGGGGCATGTGAGTGAGATCCACTCTCCCAACACTAGCCAACCTGGCTTGAAGCGCTGGACAAGTGGACGCCTTGTAAAGTGTGGAAATTGCTCAGATTTATCTCCGACATAAATTGCAATCATTGTGTTGGCTAACATGTGAACTCTGCTTGACCAGGCTTAACTCCTCCTGTCTACCTTCCTCTGAACTTTGTGTATTGTTAAAAGCTGTCTGACCCATCACATAATGGTTTGTTTTTTAGATGTAAGTGCCTTACTTACATTTTAATATTTGAAGGTTGGGGATGGAAGAATCAGACTGTAACGTAGTTTGTAGATCGGGAAGGAGGCGGCGGGAACCGGCGAACATTTAAACCAAACTTTAATCAAATAAACAAACACAAAACGAAAGTAAAGCGGCAGCCCCTTGCGGACGACTGCCGCTCACAAAACACAAAATAAACTCCAGGCCTGGTCCTCTCTCGTCCGACACTGTCGTCACTCCTCCCTTTTATCCTTCCGGAGCTCCTCCGTGAGACTCAAGACCGGTGAGTGGTGCAGGTGTCGCTCATTAATTACTCAACCGGCCTCGCTCCGTTCCCACGGCTCTCAGCCCCGCCCCCACTCATCACACAGACACCAGTTCAAAAGAATTTGTCGCATTTTAACTAATCTTTAAATGTGCCTATGCCCTACAACCTTTTTTTTTTTTTGTACTTTCACAACAGGAGAGCTATTTGTGCCATGAATTATTTCATGGATTGCTTAAGCCCAGCTCAAGAATGTGACAGACAGACAACTGTATTTTTGAGCTGAAAAATGTATCGGTGAAAGAATGTGGGCGGGTGCCTCCTGACAGTACCACAAGTCACGTTAGTCATACGAAACAATAATCGCCAAAGGGGGGTAAAAGAACCTAAACTCCTACAAAGTTTTTAAGAATGGAATGAAATGAAATGTTTGCCACAGGGGTTTGTTACCATCTAAGTGACTCATGCTGTTTAACTTTTTTTCTTCCTCTGTAGAAAATGCATCTTATCCATCATATCTTACAAGTTTGTCTTGTCCTTTCAGTCCTCAGCTTTAACTCCCACCTGTCATTTTTCTTTTTCCCTGCGAGTCTGACTATAACACGTTTAAATGAGCCTAAGTATATTTTCCTCTGTTTGTTTTTATCACAGGCTGGACATAAAGAGAAGAGCGATGCCCTGAACACTGCCATCGACAGGATGACTAAGAAGACCCGTGACCTGCGCAGACAGGTCCGTTCACCTTGAAGCAGTGCACAGAATCACATTTATTTTGATTATAGATGTCAACAAGAATACTTTATGTCCTTCTCCATAATAATAAATCATAACTGTCCCTCTTTAAATGCATGATATGTTTACATTACGTATTAAAAATGAATGCACCAAACCCAGGTGCTCTGAGTGATCATACACTAGCTAAGGGTTTGTTTTTTTGCGTATTCATAATTTCAGCTGCGGAAGGCTGTGATGGACCACGTGTCAGACTCTTTTCTGGAGACCAATGTTCCACTGCTGGTATTGATCGAGGCTGCCAAGAATGGTAATGAAAAGGAGGTGAAGGAATATGCCCAAGTTTTCCGTGAGCACGCCAACAAACTGATTGAGGTAGGCACCTGTTTTCTGCTCCATAAAGTGCAAATTACTGTCCCTCGTCTGTTGCAGATTTTAAATTCTGGAATTGTTTAAAAACAAATGATGGAACATTATTTGTACTCCTCCAGACTAGCTATTCTTTTTGTTTAACATGGCATCTCGAAGAGAGCACACATGACTTGAAGCAAACTGGTGATTGTAGGTTTGTTGTTTTTTTAAGACATTTGTTGACATTTTTTGTAGTGTTTTTTTATGTATTTAATTCAGATAAGCCCTTTAGGGGTTTTGTTGTAGAAGTCTGTTGAAATGCACAGACCAGTCCTGATCCAAAATTGATTTTGTGCACTGTATCTACTTGCTTTTGTAGTATTTGTGACTAAAATGAAACAAAATGTGAGTTGTTTCGCCATACTAAATTAAATGAAGAGATGAGTCAGGATAGACAGCCTAACTGATTATGGTGGTGGACCACTGAGTGCATCTAATTTTTTTTTTAAACTTTCATATTTTAGGATGCTGTGCTTGAAAATGGGGTGGTTTAAGAGACTTTTCTTCTCCGAGAGGGTTTTGGTATGCTGACAGCATGCTTGAACGTGCTGCAGAGAAGTTGCATCTCTAAATTCATCCCCATCAAAGCATCGCTTTTGTAACAAATTCGCCGCCTACAACAGATTTCAAGACAATTACTGTCAGACTTCAAATCCATTGCTGTGAGCAATGTTCCCATTCTTATGCATAATCTGTATTTTGTGAGAACTATAATAGTTCTGTGCAATTGAAGTTTTTAAATATTTTGCCTTATTTGTTAGGTCATTAGATATTTGTAGAATGTCTGTCAGTTCCCCTATTGAAGAGCCACGCCCTTCAACATGAGCCTGAAACATGCTAATTATACCAGATACTACATGAGAATAATATATCAAATTCTTTTATTTAGTGATTTATGATTTACAAATCACTAATTAAAAGTGCCTTATGCCACTCACAGAACAGAAAAAATAGAAGCTGTCACTTCCGCAAGTAGTTAGTACACACTTGGAGGGTAGAAACTTTCCATTCTGATTCCAACATTCAAGCTTATGTAAAAACGGAATAAATTTTAATCGATAGTCAGCACCATCACTATTTATGTGTGAATGCAACTGAAGTCTCTCTGTCATGACTGCTTGATTCAAGTCAGCGTGTCACAGCCCTTTTATCTTTTATGCTTCATCTTTTTTTGTGAAGTGTCAGACAGGAGTCAAAGTTATACTTTATAGTGCGGTACAAATGCAGTAAGGCTGCTGGGTTTACAATGCCGCAGCCAGGGAATCACTGCATTTATATGGGCAGTCACAACTGTGAATCACATTTTAAGCTCAGCCAAAGAGTGAAGCTCCTTTGAGCCCAAGGTTAAGTGTTGCCTCGATGGGGAAATGCGAAACAGCTGGATTTCCAGTGTCTTATTGATGGACTTCACAAGAAATCTGCATTGTCGTGTCTGTTTGCGGCAACCGTATTCATGACCGATAAATAAGTCTCTTGTGGTGTTTTATTTTCTAGATAGATGTTTTTCATGCCGAATCACTGGGGGTTTTATATCTCATGCTCGCATTGGCAGGGCCAGTGGCAACTGACAGAAATGTTAGCTATCCTCATTAGTTTTTCAAATATGTTCATCTTAGTCCCTGTGGTGATACGTCATCCACCGACATTTCAGACTGACCTCTCCCCACAGGGGGCAGGCCCTGCCCTTGTGTGACACGCTGCGTACAGGGGAAGACTGGTGAAGGAAATCAAAGTGAAGGGAAAAGGAGGGGTAATGAGTAAAAGCCTCAGAGTCTCACTGGGGGCTAAAGATAGTCAAAGCACAACACATCTCCAAAAAGTCACATCCCTCTGGCTCTTTCCTCCCTTTCTCCTCTCTCTCACACGTTTTTCATTGCCTTGATTTGACACCAGCCAGTGGTCGCACCATATGGATTCCAAACTTAATCCAAACATGGATTACATGAACAAAGCATGGGCTCATTTTTATAATTGCATTTGAGGGGCATTTTCAAAAGATTGTGGTTTGTGTACTTCCCTCACTTGTGCCGAGGCAAGGTCTGTATTTGTCCTTGAATATGTTAAATGCAAGCTGCTACATATTCATTTTTTTTAATTGTTGATGTGTGATAGTATAATCGCACATCTTTGACTGCACAGGTAGGAACTTTTTTGAAACTGTAAACAGCTTAGAATTAAAGTTATATTACTTGATGAACATATGTTTTTAACAACAACAATAATAATGATAATAGTAACTTTTTGAACATTGTCTTTTTATTGATTTTGCTACCTTAAACATACTGAGACTTTGTGCCTAAAAAACACCTGCTACCGGTAAAACAACTATAATGCACAGCTTCTCGTGACGTATTTCTTTAGTATAAAGCAAATTACTAATGCACTAAGCCTATATTCCAGCTGTGTAGAGTCAGGTTATGCGTGACCTCGTGTTGTCTGCTTTGTGTGTGGAGGGTAGGTAGAGGGGTTTTTTTTCGGTTGGGGTACCCCTCGGTCCGATTGCGTTCCGGGGGGTCCCCCTCGGTCCGTTTGCCGCGGGACCCGGTGCGACCGCACCAGTTGCACCCCCCTAAGGAAGGCCCTGGGTACTACCCTAAGGAAAGCCAAATTTTGAGCAAATAGATCTCTATTAATTCATGTGCATCCATGCCCTCATTTTCTTCTTAGTATGGCAGTGACGCACAAAGGAAATGGGTTATAGTTTATAAAACTAGAAAATGTAATGTGTAAGTGAGCAAAATATTCCCGTGTGCATGTGAATAGCAAAAGTCTATGTACTGTATGTATGCAAGAAAATCAATGAAAAACCCCTGAAAAAATAAAAATATTTACAGATGACTGTGCTATATACCAAATATAAAGCTGAAAATTCTGTATGAACCATTTGTTAAATATGGTCTGAGAATCTACTGAGAGGTTTGTAAATTTGATTCTGGAAAAGTATGATCATATCAGAATAATTTCTGAAGGATCATGTGACATTGAAGAATGGAGTAATGGCTGATGAAAATTCAGCTTTGCATCACAGGAATAAATTATATTTTCAAGCATATTAAAACAGAAAATAGTTTTTAAATTGTGATGTTTCACAATATTAGCAATTTTTTTCTGTATTTTTGATCAAATAAATGCAGCCTTGACGCGCATAAGAGACTTTTTTGAAAAACATTAAAAATCTTACTGATCCCAAACTTTTGAACTCCAGTGTAAATTAGTGTTGTGCAATATGCTCCGTAGTCGTATCGTCCTATCATCAGCCTGTGAGATCGCCGAAACACAATATTATCATGCTAATTTATTTATTTCTTCACTATTTATTTCATAGCCGGAGAGTGGTCCAACTCCAGCAGCATAATATCAGTGTAATCTATTAACTAAATATATAAAATATTTTTAATATGACTGAATTTGTATTTAACATAATTTATTAGAGACATTGTAAGTTACTAATTATAATGATTACATTTCCTCAGTTATTCAAGCAGCAGCTACAGAACACGAGCAAATAACATCATCTGACTTTAGTCTAGCGTGAGTTTATGCGCTTAAAAAAACACTCCCGTTATAATCAGTGAAGCTATCTGCACTGTATGTTGAATAAATCTCTTAAGCCCCATTCACACTAGGACGCTGTCACTCGTGTCGTCGGAAATTGCCAGCTCTCCATTGAAATTAATGGGATTGTGTCGCTTTGCTGTTGCTTGTAGTGTGAACGGGGCTTTATACTTGCATCACACATACATCTGCACTTTGTTGTTTGTTTATTTATTTTAGTCATTTAGCAGAGGCTTTTATCCAAAGCGACTTATAAATGAGGACAACAGAAGCAATCGATTGTAGTCTTAAAACAACTAAAAACAGATCCAAAACTAAAAGCTAAAACTTTATCAGTTTCAGTAATCCTAAAAAAATCACTGCCAAGCGTACATGCTAAAAAACAACACCTTACTTACACATAGTAAGAAATGGTTATAAAAACTGAAACAGAATTGAAACTAGTAGTAGGAAAGAGGAGAAATAAAAAGTGATACTTTATGATGAGAGAAATCACAATAAAGAGCAGAATTCAGTCAGCGAGCGTGTGCACTGAACAGCAAAACTCCTGTGTTTCAGCAATGACTCATCTGAATGCCTCTGATTGGCCATTGCATTCATAGTCAACAAAATCGTGTGTGATTGGTTATAATGCGTAACACTGTAAAAATGCAGAAAAAGAAATATGATGGCACAAATAAGCCCTAATATCAATTGGATAGTATTAGTAGCCTATCGTCAAAGGCATCAGCCACAGGCGATATCTCTGACTATCGTCGATACACAATACTATCTTCTATCAGCACAACCCTAGTGTATATGTGTGTTTTGTAGTTATTATAAGATTATTCTTTAAATGAAAACCTGCTTTTACAGATGTGACCCTGGACCACAAAACCTGTCATAAGGGTACATTTTTTTTAAATTGAGATTTATGCATCGGAAAGCTGAATAAATAAGCTTTCCATTGATGTATGGTTTGTATGGACAATATTTTGACGAGATATAACTATTTGAAAATCTGGAATCTGAGGGTGCAAAAAAATCTAAATATTGAGAAAATCGCCTTTAAAGTTGTCCAAATTAAGTTCTTAGCAATGCATATTACTAATCAACATGCAGGAGTAAAAACAGTAGGAAATTTACAAAATATCTTCATGGAACATGATCTTTACTTAATATCCTAATATCTTTTTGGCATAAAAGAAAAATCGATAATTTTGACCCATACATTGTTTATTTGGCTATTGCTAAAAATATACCCCAGCGACAGGTTTTGTGGTCCATGGTCACAAATGTGGTCCACGTGCCATAAACAAGTGAGATTTATAGTGTAATTTAGGTTTTTTCTTCCTCTGTTTAGAGTTTAAATATGGATGTAGTTATTGCTGTAGAGAGGCCATTTCATTTGCAGTACAGTGAAGCATCAA